CTATAATGTAATGCATTGTGCCCATGCAGCAGTTTAGCACAGCAGTAAAGATAACAGCCTGCTACTCGGAAGGAGAGCAGCTCAAATCCTGGACAGACCGTTGCTTTGGTTTATTTTTTAAATAGCGAGATGCAGATGCAGCCATACAAAGTGTGCGGCACAGACACGTACCGGAGGTAATTGGCTATTGCCTCGCACATCACGATGCAAAATACCCCGGTACGTGTTTGGTTGACCGACGGGGGCACTCGTGGTGCGTTGGTCGGTCGTAGAAAGATTTAAATGTCTTTACTGTGCCCGTTTTAGTATTGAATATTTATGTGGAATTTTACCACTGAAGGGAAATCTTAGTAGCTGAGCATTAAAAAGAATAGGAGCGTACTGTAACGCGTGTGAAGGCCATAAACGATATTAATTTTGGAACATAAACATACAGTATATGGCTGGTCTCGGTACTTTAAAGAAAACATACACACCAGTATTCCATTTCTCCCTAAACATTTTAAGCATTGTAGTCTTTAACTAACGTGATACCGTAGTCAACAAGCATACTTTTAGAATTTGATTAAAAGGGAATATAATATGGAATCGCGTATCTAAAGAAATTAATAACGATTTAATTATATTCATGTACCGCAACACAAGAATAGTACACGCTGTACGATGTCTGTTGATAATGTTTGTAGGGCTTTTTCAACACTCCTCATGCGACCTTGCCGGTGGTGCTGTGGGTTAGGTTCCTAACTCCCACATCACACGTTGTGTGTTCAAATCCAGCTGGAGCCATGACTTTTGTTTTAACAAACATTTTTTTGAAAAAATGAGGAGTACTGTCTTGGTGTCTCCTGCCCACACCACTATATCAGGATGCAACGCGGTGCTGGAGACTTCCCTAGGAAATTGTAGCTGCCTGTCAAGGTACTCCCCTCCTGGTTTGAGGATCTTTGATGTTACCCTCCATCTGCACTGCCCCACCTCTTTACTTTGTCTGACAGATAAAACTTGCTGTGCTGCAGGTGGTGGAGGACTATTTCCCTTTGCTTCCTGCCTCTTGGTCTCCACCACCTCTGCCAGCTTCCTGAGGACTTGTCAGGCAGATTGTCAGGTCTCCTCCATCAACTACAATTTCATGGCCAGACACTCCTTTTCCACTATGGAATATCTCTGCTCCTTCAGGAGAAATGTGTGGCTTAGAACCATGACAGGATGCTCCAACCCATCAAATTCCTGGGACAAAATCTGAAGCATCGGTGTGGAGGAAGAACAGGCCTACTAAATTGAGAAATAAACTGGCTAGTAATTTGCTAGCCCCAGAAAAGACCTCACATGTGTCTTCATCTGTGGAACTGGCCAGTCTCGTATGGCCTTGACCTTGTCGATCTGGTGCCGGATTTGGCCCTCACCCATTACATATCCTAGATACCAGGCTTTTCACAGGGTTAGCATGGAATCCTGCATCTTCCGGGGAGGAGAGTACCACTTGGCAGTGCTCTAAATGTAAAGGCCAGCCAATCTTCTCTAAGTATTACCACATTGTCAAGGTAAGCAGTCACATACTGAAGACGGGGTCTTAAGAGACAGTCCATCTGTTGTTGGAAGGTGGCCAGAGCCCTGAGAAGACCAAGGGAGAGTATCTTATACCCGAGGAAGTCACAAAAGCAGTTATTAGCTTGGCTGTAGTGGTCAGGGGAATCTACCAACACCCTTTTGTTAAACCTAAGGTGGTGATGTATTTCACCTTCCCTAGTTTATCCAGTAGTTTATCAATCCAAGGGGTATCTTCCTGAAGTCGTTTGCAAAAGCACCAGGTACCATCAGGTTTAGGTATCAGGACAATGGTGCTGGACCAGGTCCAGCATCTTCTGTATCTCCTGACTGATTTTTTTTTACACTTGCTTTGGGTATATGATATGGTGCTATTCTCATAACAACTCCAGGTGGTGTCTCTATGGGATGTTGCATGCCCCAGTAAAATGGAGAGCAGATGGTGAAGGAGAGCGGTAAGACCCAGACTTTCCCAGAACTCTCCAGCTACATTCAGGATACTCCAGGACTGTCTCCCATAAAGTAATTTGAATGTGAAGAACCCTGTTGAGGCTTGTGGCACTTCCCTGATTGCGAACACTAAAGGGTCAGGCGTTGATCCCAGATTGAACCACGTTCTTTAACATCTGCTGCAGAGTCCTGTTAAAGCGTTCCACCACTCTGACCTTTAGAGGGTGGTATACAGATTAAGTTATCATTTTCATTTGAAGAAAATCTGCAACTTTCTGCATGAGGAGGGAGGTGAATGGGGTTCCCTGGTCTGTCAGGATCTCTCTAGGTAAGTTGACACATGTAAATAAATTGAACACCTTCTTGGCAATCGCACTACTGACAGCCCTCTGTAGGGGGGACAGTCTCAGGGTATTGGAAGGTATAATTGACAACTACTAGGATATATTCATGCCTTCTAGACGTTTTAGGCAGGGGTCCTAGGAGATCCATCACAATGCGTGAGACCTCTTCAATAATGGGCAGGGGCAATGGAGTGCATAAGTGGGGCTTTGGAGCTGATGGTCAGGGAAACTACTACAATAACAATAATTTTACACACTCAGGTTGTGTGCTAATTTTGTCTCTCCTTCTACTAAGCTGGCTCCTCATCTAATCAAACCTGATCACATTCAGTATAAAACACCTGAACGTCCATGGGGAAGATGCTCTGTCATTTGAGCTACCACCTACAGTTATGCTGCACTCAGTCTTTTGCGTCTCTCAGTTCTTACAAACTTGTTCTAGCAAAACCCTGTTTCCGATTCCTTATTCCAGTGGTTCTCAAACTGGTACGCGTACCGGCAGTGGTACGTGGC